CCACCTGGTGTTAGGTAGTTACTGGACCCCATAGACATCTACAACGTAAATGCGCCATCCACCTTGAGATATAAGTTCTAAGGTCTCAAGTATATTTACAACGGCTGCCCCACCCTTCAAACCGAAACGCATTACTGCTTCACGGCTGAAATAGGCGGGGTAGTGGTGTTCTGTGATAGCTACCCGCTACAGTAGCCTTCCTTAACCTGAGCTGGCTTACTTAAGCATCCAACCTCCATCGGTGCCATATACGTCCAGATGGATAGATGGGAGTTCTGTGGTTCTTGTACCGCACGTTCTGTGAGAAGTTTTATTTGAGATTATCCCATCGTCTCCTTTTTCACTTAAAATCAGAGCGGAGTTTGTAGCTCAGCTTTATTTAGCAATTTTCAGCTTTATCTACATTGTGTGCGTTGATAAACAGCAACCAACAAAGCTAAAAACAAAAACAGCATCAACAAACTGAGGTTTGTATACATTCTCACGATAGCGTGTGTTGATAATTATCTAAAGCTTCCATCTGTTAGTAAATTCAAAATGAAATAAATACTTTATCGTTTCTTAGTACGAAATAACAAAAATGCAAAGGAAACAAATTAGTAATTTTTAATGTCTAAAAATACTGCGATTCTTATCATCACAGAATATAACTGATGTCTTTATTGCGTATCGCAAAATAAAAGTAGAGTTTAGTGGAGTTACTAGAGTATCTCGTAAACTGAACCTACCTAATAATAGGTTTTATTTAGCTATACACATTATCAAATGCAGTGGGTTCGAATTTTCTAAATATTCTGTCATATTTCTGTTTGTTGGAATTAACGATCCAGAAAAAAAGAATGTTACGGTTATACTCCATTATTCAAAATTAGAACGACTTCACAATAATTACGTTCGCGCCATAATTTATATCCACGTACGGCTTCAGAGCTGTTTGGTTGCGATCTGTACCTGTCACTCGGGAGTATTAATTATGACTTTTATTTTTTTAAATATTAATAAAGACTTTACCGTCTTAAGGCAGTTTAATTAATGTTCGAACTAAATTGATGTTTTAATTTATTGTTAAGTTTAAATTTACAACAATTTGTTTTTTATTTTGAACTATTTTCTTAGAGCAAAATATGGCGAAATTAAGGCGAATTACAGTTTACAGATGATGACATTTTGTGGTTGATTTTTATTTTAATAGAGGTATTTTTTTCTTTCTGATTACTAAGACAGTTGAACGAACTCACGAACCATCTTTTGTTAAGTGGCTACCAGAGTCCACAGACATCAACAATGTAAATGTCGCTATCCACCTTGATACATGGATTCTCGATTTGGTTCTATAGTACATTGGTTCCACCCTTCAAACTATAATAGGAAGAGCGGTAGTACCTACACGTGCGAACTCTCAAGACGTATTTACTACCTTAAGGGCACAATAACTTTTAATGTACTTATCATATGAACTGAGCATCTTCTATCAACTTTGCAAAAAAGGACATAATTTATTTATCCTAAAACGTATTAATATTCGTATGCCTTTAAAGTACCTATTATTTATATGGCATAAAAACATAATTAATTTGAGTGGCAAGGTAGCCTGCCCACACGACTATTGCAACGTTTCACCCACACGAACATCTAACGCGGCCTTCCTTCAAAAATCCGCTTAATGATTTATTATTACTATTAGGCATATAAATATGTATTCAAAATGTCCAATCAAATCAAAATACTGCTTAATTTAGTATAATAATATGTATTCTTCGAGTTTTGCGAGTCTTAGACAAATTTAAAACTGTTTGATTTCGCGTTTATTTGTAATTGTAATTTATATTATTTCCACAATTTCGAATATTTCACAGTTGTCATAGTCAAGAATGGCAGGATACACTGCTTAATTAAATTCAGCCAAGTCCTCTTTCTATAGAAAACTTAGTAGTACTTAATTGTTATTATAATTAGTAATGTTTGTTGTAAAGAATTTCTTCGTCAGTAAGACGAGCAGGTGTATTGACATCGGGGTGAGATTAAGGTAGTGGTTGTGCCGCGATGCGATTCAAATAGCTGGGAATCGAGCCAGTTGCTTGCTATTAGCTAAAGATCCCACAATACCAGCCAACAGTATCAAAAGTGGAGTGGCGCGATATACTCTCGCAAAACAATTTGCTGTCATGATGACATTGGTACACAAAGTGAATGTGTTCAATCCAATTCCAAAAACATGACTATAGCAGGTGAATAATTTGTAAAACGTAAATGTAAAATCCATCACTTCTTTTTATCAACATTTCCTTTTTATCGAGTTTCTGCAGGAATTAATATCAATGTTAAACATATTTATTAAAACACTGCCAATCGCTAAGTTAAGTCGCGAGTGTTTGTCCATCCATTTTTACTGGTGGCAGGACCTCTTGTGAGTCCGCGCGGGTAGGTACCACCGCCCTGCCTATTTCTACCGTGAAGCAGTAATGCGTTTCGGTTTGAAGGGTAAGACAGCCGTTGTAACTATACTGAGACCTTATATCTCAAGGTGGGTGGCGCATTTACGTTGTAGATGTCTATGGGCTCCAGTAACCACTTAACACCAGGTGGGCTGTGAGCTAGTCCATCCATCCAAGTAATAAAAAAAAAAATCTAAAACAAAGTGATGGCGAATACAGTAAGCGTTATTACAACGTTAAAACGTTATTATAAAAAAGCGTACTGCACTAAGCAGCAAGGATAGGATGAGCGTTACCGTTATAACGTTGTCTTCTTCGATGCGATTTCATACGCACTTTAAGATCGTAAATAAACTTTGATTTGTCAACAGATTCCAATGCAAACATTGGTTCGGACACATTAAAATATAATATGTAGATATAAAGTATATTTACGATGTTATTCTATCTACGTACATGAAATATGCTAGAACCCTAGATTAAAAAAACCCACGCAGTTAAAATAAATATAAACACGTCCTTGTTTAATGATTGTGAAACAATCTATCGAAATTCATTAATTTAACACTATAGTGTAGGCGTATGGAGATTTGTAAAATATGTGGAAGTATTTATAAAAAGTACGTACTTTATTCTAGTGTTACATTAATTGGGGTCGACCAATATTTGTATTAATCGATGTTGTAACATGATTTGTCTTATAGTTTGTCCAACCGTCTGTTTAGGGTTAAATTCAATCATAAAATTAAGTGCATAAGTTCAAAGGTTCGAAGCTATTTTTATATAAATAAATTACATACTACTACGTATCTGTTTTCTGTCATTTCTTAGGATCGTGTTCCGTATGTGATAGGATAATATTAGAGGTGGGTCGGTGATAGCCGGGGTTGCAAAACCAGTAGTAGGATTATGGCTGATTTTCAACTGGAAAGTGTTATTGGATGTTCAAATGGCCTGAAACATGCCTATTTATTGTTATGACGTTACGACTTTGGATGTATTTGTGTAGAAAAAAATAATTCAAAACACATTACACGGAGCGTAGTTAAGTGATTTAAAAAAAAAAACGCCAAAACGTGATTAATCTGTGTTTTCAGTTTCTTGGCTACTGCCACCAAACCGCGAGCATCCAACTAAGTACTACGTTTATACAAACGAACGAAGTCTAAACACCCCTCGAAACCGTTTAAGGCAAACTATTGTTATAACACTTGTTACTAGTTCTTACCTACAAATTACATACGATAATGCCATCCCAATGAGTGACGTCTCACAAATGGCGTACTAACAACACTATACTTCAATCGTACCAGTTCTAAAACGTTGTAACTCCTATCTCCTCTAACTTACTGTTTGCCTTTCGGTCCTGTATTAACAATACGAGTTCTATAAATGACCGATGCGGGAGAGCTCAACACATCGCAGTCCATCTTTTTAGAACGACACAAATAACATTCTATATTTGTAAATTTATTCACTACCAACGAGAGAGCAGAGAGCACCTAGGCTTACGCGATCGTTATGCGATTCTCGCTCTTAAAGCGTGTTCATAAAGATAATATTTAGATCATCGGATTTGTATCGTTAGGTGTTCTGTTTGAATTGAATATGGACGTGAAGCGAAGGTACGTTTATGAGGCATCCATGCCGATGACCACATGCACCAGTGTTTGTAAATAGAATAGAGTGTACTATAAAACTGTTCTATATTTTTTAACATTTAAAATTTAAGTAATTAGCGACACATTCACTGTAAATACATTAAATTGAATTTAATACTATATTAGTGCGATGTACCTTTTATGTTTATTGTATGAGAATTTTTCGTCCATGAATTAAATAAGAAAATGTTTGTTTAGTTATAAGTTCAAAATATTATTATGTTTTTAAATGCATTTTATCATGCTGCCTCCAAGTAACAGACGTTCGGTTTCACAGAAAAATTAGCTTAGTCGTGTGAAAGCAGCGCTCAAAGGCATCCAAACGAGTGTGTTTGCTTATTTCATTACTCAGCTGGTTTGGGAAGTGAAAAATCACGCTTATCTGTACAGCAACACAAGGGAATGCTGGGCCGCGTCCGACATCTGTTCGTTGCACCCATAAAGATAACGAAAACGTACAAACGGGAACGCATTCCGTATCAGCACTTTGTCGTGAACGCTCCTGTACGAATTACGCGCGAAATTGTGTACGCGCGGCCATTTTGCATATTTTCGCGCGCGCTATGTGTTCCATTTTCGAAAGTACGGTGCGTACACCAAAACACACAGGCCGTTTTTTATTATTCGCTTTTCGAGATGTTGGTTTATTTTTGATCGCGTTGTCCTATTTAATCCGTTGTGCGAGTGTAGCGGGCGCCCCAATCAGTCTTGGCGGCAACCGTTGCTTTTGACGTCGTGTATTTTGTATTCATACAACTTTACGCATTCTAAATTAATTACTTATTCAAAATGATTAAATTTATAATATCTAAGATCAAGAAGGTTGTAAGTAGCATTAATAATTATTTTAATGTTTGTGAGATTGTGTTTGCTACAGACTTGTTTTTTTTTTGTTTCTTTATAGATTTATCCCGATCCTGAGTCTGAGAAGGCGATAATGGGGTCGGTGGTGTACTGCATCCATCACAAAGAAGGATGTCAGTGGTCAGACGAGCTCCGCAAACTGAAGGTGAGGCGAGACGGCAAATATTGTTATAATGATAAACTTATGTAGGTAAATAGATCGATCTATCATTGATCCGCTCATAAATATGTATGTGTGAGTCTCACGCATCCACTTACAGAAAACTGTTGTATATACCTGCTCATGTCAAATATTGTATTTCCTTTTTTTATGTTTATTGTCTATTGGTTTGGAAAGAAATATCAAAATAGAATTCTTATAAAATAAAGGTCTTGAAAGTAAAGCTTAAAAGTTAAATATGTATGTAGATTTATTATCATGAGCATTGATGGTGAAATTTAATTGAAATTAAGTAAGAGACGGTTAGGCAATGTTGTTCTACCCACTAGTTCCGAGGAAAAACTGAGAGGCATAAAAAAATTGATAATTGACAATTTAAGTTGCAGGAAAAATAATTCCTGGAAACAACGTTGTTTCAATTAGTACATACCAGTAACGCTGTTCTGGCGATGAGTTGCACTGTTACGGGATACGGGTTCCCCTTAAACTAACCCATACTTCATGTTCTCGAACACGGAAAAAGCTCATGTCTTTTCTAGTATGCAGACCTTACAGTTATCACGAAAAACGACGACTTAGGTTTAGTTAGTACAAAAAGGGTCAGTGGGATTGTCTCTATGACCGATGTTGGACCCTCACTGTCAGTTGGGACGTGTGCTTTTCGGAGGCTATTAAAAACATTTCCCGTTTAACGTGTATATTTTCCACCAGGCACATCTAAATACTTGCAAGCACGACGCGGTGCTATGTGCCGCGCACTGCGGCGCCATGATACCGCGGGTGCTCATGCAGGACCACCTCCGCTACACGTGCCCGCGGCGCCGGGCCAACTGCGAGCACTGCCACACCGAGTTCTCGGGCAGCGCGCTCGAGGTCAGCACCCACCACGCTTCTTTTGGCTTACTTTAGAGATCCAACTATGAATTTGTTATTCATTTAAAGACATAACTAAAGATAGGTATTACTAGTGGTAGGACGTCACAAAAACTAGCCTCCGTCCTGAGAAGAACTGGCAAGAAACTCAGCGGTCATGTCTTTTTTTTTAAATATTAGATTATTATTTTTTAAATATTAGTTTTTTTTTAAGTATTCATTTTTACAATGAATATTTTAATGTAACAATTATTGCAATATTGAAATGCCCGGAGCGAGCAATTCAAGTCTTCTTTGTGCAATCTTCTAGATAATCATTGACTCTATAGTAAGCTTTATTGCACACATGTTCTTTAATAGTTTTCTTAAAGCTATGGTTCAGGATGGATCAGGTTGGACCTCTGAACGAACAGTTCATATTATTGATTAGTAAAACGTGACGGCTTCCAGGAGCACCAAGGAAACTGCGGCCACGAGCCCATCTACTGCGAGAACAAGTGCGGCGCCAAGGTGCAGCGCCGACACACGCAGCAGCATCTGCAGCAGCACTGCAGCAAGCGCCTCGTGCCGTGCAGACACTGCGGCCAGAAGTACACGCAGGTGAGGCCCGCGCCGGACCACGTCTCACCTTAGTTGCTGCAATTAACTTCGGAGCACGTCATGCTTATCACGTCGATGTCTCATCCCTATGTTTACGTTGTTATAAAGATATTGTACTGACCAAAACTGTTATGAATGTTATATCAAAGATTCCTTCGGTCAATCGATATCTTTGCAATCTTATTATTCGAATCCAATGCCGAATTGTAATATGAATTGAGTGCATCCCACTATACGTTAGTTTCAATTCGAACGAAGTATTTTCTTTCGCTTTGCCAGTCGAAGACATAATGGTAACTGGTTTTGCGGTTTAAGCCCACTGAGTTTCTCGCCGGATCTTCTCAGTTGGTCGCGTTTCCGATCCGGTGGTAGATTCTGCGAAGCACTGCTCTTACTAGGGTCAGTGTTAGCATCACTCCAATTTGAGCCCCGTGAGCTCACCTACTAGTTAAGGTTACGCTGAAATAGCCTCTCAAGGCTATCAGCTTAGGTAGGAAAAAAAAGCGGTTTAATCTTGTGTCAACGTGACGTCCGGCCAATATTAACCTCGGTACGGTGTCGCTGTGCAGGACACGGTGTGCGCGCACGGCGAGGGCTGTGCCCGTGCGCCCGTGCCGTGCCCGCAGCGGTGCGCCGCGCCCGTGCCGCGGGACCTGCTCGACGCGCACCTGCGGGACCACTGCACGGCCGCCGCGCTGCCCTGCTCCTTCAGGGACGCAGGATGTAGATTTAAGGTAGGTACTGCCATACTTCAGTCGTATTGTCAGTTAAAATAACAAGTGTGATGTTTCTATTTTGAACGTATTTATAGAATAAGGTCTCTATGATGGCATAAAAATCTTGAAAGTCTTCTATTTTTACCGTCACTACTTTTTACGGAAAGTATTTATGAAGAGCACGTTGTGGTATTAACACGTGTGCTATGTGCCTCGTGGGCTACTCTTATATTTTTCTTTTTTAAGCGATTTGATCGTTTAGATCAGCCTTTCCCAAAGTTGGCGATAACGCCCCCTTGTGGGCACTGCAGGCTTAAAGGGGGGCCGTAAGAGACCCAGAAAAAAATGGGGGCAATGTGTAAAGGCTTGGTTGTAATTTCATCTAGGAGGACCCTTAGACATCGACTGAGCTCTCGCTATAGTGGCTTTTAAGTAGGGGGAAAATGGGGGCGCTAAAGAATAATTTATTCTCAAAGTGGGCAGTAGACAAAATAAGTTTGGGATCCCCTGGTTTAGATGGTGTAGGTTTCACGTTTAAGCTTCGTATATTTTCCTACAAGACATTGGACTGGGTGCGACAAGCCACTAATCGCTGTCCCCCGGCGTCGCAGGGCAGTCGGCAGGCGGTGGAGCGGCACACGGAGGAGAGCTGCGCGCAGCACCTGTGCCTGGTGTCGGCAGTCGCGGCGCGGCAGGCGCGGCAGCTGGACGCGCTGCGGGCGGCGGTCGCGCGCCTGTCGCTCAACTGCACCGGCGCGCTCGTCTGGCGGATCGCGGACTGGACCGCCAAGATGGCCGAGGCCAAGTGTAAGGACGGCGTCGAGCTGGTCTCCCCCGCCTTCTACACCAGCCAGTACGGGTACAAGTTACAGGTCAGCTCCGTTTGCTGTTCGACAACAATCTGAAGCGCGCTCACGATCATTTTAAGGCAATCCTGAAAATTCCGAACAACATTTGTGCCGTCGATTCACCGAGCAAAAACTGTTGCTTGATGAATTATTTTCATTTACACGTTACTTAAACATCCCTAGGTCGCCCTTAGAAATTTTAAAACATTTTTCATTTCCTGAATAAAATCATTGCCAACACTAAAATATCGATCACAGCGTCAAAAGCCCTTTGTTTGTAAACAAAGATCGCAGCGCAATCATTAATAGCCGGGTGAGTAACCGCAGGCGACTCCGAGACTGAATTAGCTTCGGTTAGTCACCGCGAAACTAAACTGTCAACTTAATCATGTCACGGTTTGACGACTAATATCTATTGTAAAAATAAATCTTAGATATCGTCAAAAAGGGTTTTTTAATTCTGTTGTGTTACATTAATGAGTTTTTGTAATTACTTTCTGGTGGAGTGTCGTACTTTGCAGTGCCAAAAATATCAGTAAAATTTCAACTCAATCGAGTAAATGACGCGCGAATCCAAGCAAATAAAAAAACAGTCATAAATATTAATTGCTAGATTCATAAAGAAAATTAACTTACGCACAAATATAAACATCTGAATAAATAGATAAATAGCTTGTAGTTTCAGCCTCAACCAAAATAATTTTTTAATTTATTTAATTTCAGGCGTCACTCTTCCTTAATGGCAATGGAGCTGGAGAGTCCACCCACATGTCGGTTTACATCAAGATACTGCCCGGAGAGTACGACGCTTTGCTCCGCTGGCCATTCGCCCACACTGTCTCCTTCACTCTCTTCGACCAGAGCTCCAGCCCGGACCGAGCCTGCAACATTGTGGAGTCATTTGTACCGGATCCAACGTGGAAGAACTTCCAGCGACCCTCGAAAGAGCCAGACGCATTAGGATTTGGTTTCCCAAGGTTTGTATCCCACGAAATGCTCAAGAAAAGGAATTTCGTCAAAGATGATATTATGTTTTTGAGGGTCAAAGTTGACCCGAGTAAAATCGTTGCTGTTTAAATTAAAATAGTCCTATTTTTAGTTCTTGACAACACTGCCATTTTTTCACTGTCTATAACATCTGATTCGATTTTGACAAACTAGATTTCATGTCATTAAAATTTTATTTTAAGGAGGGTATGTAGAGATTCTACCCTCTCAAATAGTTGAATGATTTATATAATTTTTGGTAGCAACTTAAGATTTAAGTAGAAATTTAAGTAATAACAACGGCGCGCAAGTTTTGAACAAGTCATGATTAGCATAAGTAATTTAAAAGTCATCGTTTTTAAGTGTAAATATTAAAATCTTAGCATTTACAGTATTTTGTATATAATATCATAATATTCTTGTAAATATTAGGAAGTTAAGAAGCGCATATGCAGCATTGTTATTCTTTCACTAAAGATCTCTTGTGTTTCATTGCCGATTGGAAAATGTGACTAATGTTTTGAAAGGTATAAAACTTTTTTGCTGCGAGAAAATATCATGAAAAATATGAACAACCTGTTGAAGTCTATGGAACTCTAACAATATGGATAATAAAGAAGTTTTAAGATAAACGAGACTGGTAATATTAAAGCGGAATATAAACATTTAAAAAGCAGAAGAAAGTAAATAAATACTTAGTATATTTTTGTGTTAATTTTTTACCTGCAAGAATTTTAATGATTTTATCTGACCTAAAGTCGATAAAACTACCTGTTTAGATCAAATATTTTATGCCGCTAGTAGATTTTTTTTAAAATAAATAATACACAAATTTTTATAGGTCACTGCAAAAATTTTGTGTAAAATTAAATAAGCATGTTCTGTAGCATTTTTGTTGGCCTTAAGTGAGTTATGTCAAAGGCTTTTTGAAAAGTTCTCAGAACTAACATTTTCATTAGATATTTTAAAATTTAAAACATGTTCTCCTTGTTTTTGGTAAACCATATCATGATGGAGTCTAAAACTGATTGTTGGCCATTTTAAGTCTGAAGAGAAATAAAATATTCTTAATTTGCTATTTTGTTTTTTGTTGTACCATTGTTTCAAATATAGACGTCCTATTATTAGGAAATATGGTATGTGAACTTAAAGGAAAATGGCAAAATTCAAGTCTAAATATTATGTCACTCATAAACTTCAATGAAATTTTGTATTTTTCAAACAGTTGTATTGAGTTCAAGTTACATCGGCAGATCTTTGTAAATAAATAAACATAATGTTTAAATTGTTGATATATTATACCTATAATAATTTTTTGCACAAAGTTATACTTAATGTAAACTGTACATATTATAGATATTTGCAACGAAGTGTTTCCATATTCTTAAAAGCTGGAGTTAGACCAAAGTATAGATATAGCTTTGCGATTGGATACTAATGAATACAAGGTCTTAGGTATACTAAACTAATTGTGCGTAAAATGTTTTTGTCTTTGTTAAAAGATGGATGGTGATGTATTGCAGGTAGTCATTGCTAAGTTCATAAAGATTCATAAAGCAACAATTTTGTTCAAGAGTACTGATAACTAATGAGCCGTCGTTTGTTATAAACTCGTAACCACGACGCTGTTTGTAAGCTTTATCAGCCATAGAGGTATTATATGCTTCTAAGTCACGGACACTTGATACAATGGAATTAAAGACTGACGTCATTTAAGGGGACTGATTGGCACCGAGAATTAGGTATCTGCTTATTTAATCAAATTAAAAAATCTCATAATATGTAATAAATGATTTATTCTTTTGTTTTGAAGCATGGTGCAGTATGTATACAAAGACCTAATTGTATATTGTACATGAGCGAAGCATATCAACTTGTATCTACATTAAGCAGCTAAAGCTGTGTAACATAAGATTGTGTGTAAGGTTTATTTGCTTTTAAAACATGTTCTCTTTTAGTTGATAAAGTTTTATTTTTAAATTTGGATACGTGAGGAATTCTTCTTGACACGTCAGCGGATTAAAATGTCATACTTGATAATTTGTTCAATAAAAACTAACAGCATTGGAAACTGAAACTTGTGTATTCATAATAATTATCAATTCTCGTTTATTTAAATTAAGATTTTTATATTATCTGTGTGTCTAATGTTTTGGATTAGGATCTCTATGAAACGCTTTCTTTTGTAAAATTATCTCAACCGTAAATGTGACATTCCAGTTAAAAACATTATAAATTAAGTTTGATTCGTAATAATCATTGATGGCCATAACTAACTACTAGTAATATACATACATAATTGTGAACAACAGAAGTATATGGGGTTTTTTGTAGTAATTATTTTACATAAATTTCCTTAAATACAAGTTTAATTCTTTTGATGGAACATACATTTAAAGGAATCTTACTTTAAAACAAATGGTCGTTCGGGGTTCATAACATACTAGACCAATCACCTTTTGAAAACATGGAAAATGATTAACATCCCTGTGCTTCTGTTTGAAAATACATGACTGAATTCTAAGTTCATTGACCGTTTGTTTGTATCTTTGATTAAATAATCCTTAATTTATGTAGGTACATAATTATATTAAATTTCAATATTTCTTTGATAGCTAAAAATATAAATTAATATTTTATAGTTTATTAATTGAAGCTGCCTATCTAGATTATAATCTAGGCTAAGTGCATTTAAATTTAATAAGTACCTTATAGTGACATAAATAAGACTAACAGAGCAATTAATTAGGTTCGTAGTTTGCGTCTTCTACTTTTTTACATTTAAGTGAAGAATTGTAAATCTTGGTTTTCAGAAGGAAATATATTTTTTTCTTATGAATTTTTTATTTTATTTCTATACAAAGCAATTATAAGGGATTGTTAAAACGATATATTGACAGAAAATTACACCAATATGGAAATGTTAATGTAGGGATCAGGTAGTAGTAACAACCCGCTCGGCGGTGTATCGCCTTCCGACCCGGCAGGCTGGTTCTGGCCCAACGGAGTATCCCGGAACACCAGCGGCATCGCCCGGGCGGCCTGGTACGGCCGCCGTACCGCGGAGACCGACGTCGTTGGTCGTTGACTATCGCCTCTACGACCCGTCGGTCGGGCGTTCTCGGGGTGGCGCCGCGTGTCTGGTTGTAGTGTTGACCGCGGGAACCTCCCTACTCTGACCGGGTTCTGACCCCAGACGGAGATCGGACGTCGGATGTAAGATCGCAGGGTTCATTTAGTGCGGTACGGTCCTAAAATTCCTTGGGCCCACGGTCTCGCATTCGCGGACCAGCCCCACATACCCCGCCGGGGATCTCGTAGGAGGTTCGGCCTCCGGCCCGAAAAAATAATAATAAAGGGATCAGGTAATAGCAGGGGTAGGCAATACCTCGGATTTTTAAGCGGAACCGATCTGGAAGCGTCAGAACACTACTTTTATAAAGTGGCACCACACTAAATCTCTTATAATGGCCACCGCTAATTACACAGGTATGCAATGAAATCCTCCTTTAAATTTTTTTGTCATAAATATGACGATTTAAATGTTCTGAATCTATCCCCCTTGGCCAATTTTTCCCAACACGTCTAGATTTTTTGATATGTTTTTTTTTTCAAACCTTTATGGAACTCAAACTACATATAGAATATTTGTGCTGATTTAAGTCGTCGCTATACTCACTGCATTACAATGAGGGTACACAAAGTTTTGCTGTTTTCTTTGTGAGTGGGACAGTCGCGCAAGATAAAAACTTTAAATCCTGGGCTTAAAAATGTGTCTCAGAAACCTTTGGTGCCAAGTGAGAAAAATTTTCTGCCACCACTCACATAAGGTTGGGACTCAAGAAAAACTATATCTAAAATTAATATCATTCAATAATTTCAATATCTAAAAACCAAAATTCCTCGAATCAGTGACGCAAAATTGAAGGAAGAAATTTTTGTAGTTCAACAGATACGTGAGCTAATGAAAGATGAAAATTTTAATTCGAAGTTGAACGAAGCAGAAAAAAGAGCTTGGGCGGCTTTTGTGGAAGTTTGTCATAATCTTCTGGGGAACAGAAAAAGTGAGAACTACTGATAAATCATTCGGGAGCTTCTTTTGGCTTATTAAGCCCTAATATGCATAATATGTCACTCAAGATTCATTTTTCCGACTCTAATTTAGATCTCTTGCGTGAAAATCTTGGAGCCGCATCAGATGAACATTGTGAAAGGTTTTATCAGGATATAATGCACATTGAAAAACGCTACAGTGGGAAATGGTTAGCAGCAGTGCTTGCTGATTTCTGTTGGTCAATTCGCTGAGAAACTCCAACAGAAAGGATGACAAATAAAAAACCACAAAATAAATCTTCTCACCATATAATGAGATAACTGACCGATATTTATTCATTTTGTGACTATAATTTCAGATTTTTCACTGTAAAACTTAGACCGAAATATGTTTTCATTTCGTCATGATAATTGATATTTTAATAATATTGTTTGTTAATTAAATAAATATTATATGGGAAATCTACGTGTGGTAACTAATTGTATGTCAGATTCCGTGTTTGGAGCACAAAATATAATGAATTCATGTATGAAAAAAAAATTTTTTTTGGTCGACCTGGGTTACATATCGCACCCAGGCGACGGGACAAGGCAGCCGCCGTCGCCCAAAATTTATCTTGTCGAGTACTCAACATCCGCTCTCGGTGCTTTTAGGTCTTTAAGCAATGCTTCAGTGGTTAATTCATCGATTACTGACGCGTTGACGAACTGAACTGAAGAGTTCGACGTGCGAGCTAGTCCATAGACACAGCCCACTTAATTTCTCGCCGGATATTCTCAGTGGGTCGCGGTTCCGATCCGGTGGTAGATTCTGCGAAGCACTGCTTTTGTTACGGCTGGTGTTAGCATATTCTTCCAGGTTGAACCCATGAGCTCACCTAATGGTCCGCACGTAGTTGAATAGCCCCGTAGGCTACCGAAGATTAGGCAGTGAAAAATAAAAACTGTTGAGATTTAAGGTTTCGGTCTAAAACAACAGGTTATCAAATGTTTAATATAATAAGATCAACTCTAAATGCATGCAATTTTAAATATCTAAAAAGAATAAAAACAAGATTACAATAAGTGTTTTTAATCTTATTACCACTTTTTGATTGTTACCAACCACTTTGTTACAAAATCATTAAAAAAAATTAAGAACTTAATTACTACACTTAAAACTATGTATTTTGAGAGCTCCCTGATTGACTGAAGGTTGAACTATTTAAGTTGAGTGATGGTGCTGTCTTTTTCGTTTTCTGTAAAAAAAAAAGTTGATTATTTGTTACAAAACTGCTGCAAGTACATATAAGAATAATTGCACTCAGATCTTCAATTTTAAAGCGCACCCAAATAACCTTGCTAAGCATCTAACGGACAACCAAATGACAACAAGAAAGCTCCGAAGAAGAGTTTCTTCAGATCTACTAGATCCAGTGTAGATTCACTGATATGGACATTTTGCATGCACTGCCTATCAACTTATTTTTGTCAAAACTACAGTTGAAAGTCTAAAGACAGCTTACTGTAATTTACTGTATAAAACAAATAAAAAAAAATAAACAAATCTTCAATACCGAATTTAAGTTTAACAATGATATTGATAAGACCAGGCTTACAAACTCCAAATTACCGTAGTTACTAAACCTTAGGTTAGCTGAACTCACTGCACACTCACAGTTTTAGTTTTGGTAACACACATCATCATCACAACAATGTGATTTGCCTTTCTACTAGGACACGAGAGTGAAGTCTAGAACAGAAATCCAAGGATCCTTCAGAGTAGAATGCATAAATGTGTCACGTATAAGATGATCCGAAGGATGGTACATACATTCAGAGATATTCGTAAAAAGGACAAAGTGGAGATGAAAATACAGAAGGATGTGTCTAAAGGAGAGTATATTACAATTTGTCACACATGTTCTTACCATTTGCATCCTTAAGAGGTTGTCCATAGCAGCAGGTAGAAGAGGTTTCACTGAGTTTATTTCCATCATTGTTAAATGATCTAATCTGCCATAGCCACCTGAAAATGTCAATTATAAATGTCCTGAATTTAACTTATGACTGAGTAAGTCACATTCTATATTTTTTTCTTATCTTAATTTAGGCATACCATTCTGGTGTTAAGTTATTACCGAAGACCACATATCATCATTATAGGCTTTCTGATTCATGCAGGTTTACAATATCATCAGTTACAATAAAATAAAATATAAAATCCTCTCAATTCAAAAATCTTTAAAATGTAAGTTTAAAGTACTTAAAAGTAAAGTATTTTAAAGAAATCATTACAAACCTCCAGTTTTCATCAATGCATCCATTGATGTTCGTAACTTAGACATTCTTATATCCCAGATGTCTTTGATAATAGTCTTTATTTCTGGTGCATTGGGAACATCTTCAGCAGCTGAACCAAGTATCAGTTTGGCTTCCACCATATAGTGCTCATTTGGCATCTTTGTGAAGAACCTTGTAGTTTGATAATTTTAGGAAGATTTAATGTGAAAACTTTGACTACTACAACTACTTGCTTTATCTTGCTGATAATTCTAATACGTTATTTAATGATAGATTTTATATTTACACACCCTTTCATGAGTACTGGCAAAGATATATTTATTGACTAATGACATTCAAGTTTTTTAATCATGTTACAATTTGAGATTTATTAACAGGTAGACCACTAATAGTTATTGTTTAGTATCAGTGTTAGAATGGATGGCTCTAGAAGGTATTTATAACATAAACCATAATAATAAAATATACTTTTTGATTTAAAATTAAGACATGGAAGTTGTATAAACAAAATATTAAATTGTATCTGGAATAAACTGGACCACCTAGAAAGATCAAAGTTTTGAAACTGGTGTGTTTTGTAAAAAACCAAATTTATTAAATATATTGACAAACCTGGAACGCTTTTCCTCTTCTTTAATATTCTCCAAAACTTCCACGTCCATCCAGTCAGGAGGGATAACATGGCACTTTTGTTTCTGCTTTAGCATGATAGCCAGCCAGAGTGGTACGTTCACAGGTAAACCAGCACGAAACGGACCAAATTCACCGCATATCAAGTATATTTTATCATGGGTAAAGTTTGGTGTTATACTGATTATCCGATTCTCACCAATAAACTCGATTTCATAAGGTTCCATTATTATTTTTATGGTTTTAATAATTTATAATCATTTAATAATATACATATATTTAATTTAATTCATTTTGGTTAAAAATTTAGGAATATTACCTACCTTTATCATGTTTTTATTTATCATATTTTTTTAGGTATTTTATATTATGACCTGGTAACTAAGACTTTTAAGTCATGTCTTATTTTAATTTATACTCTTATTTTTATGAAAAATGATGAAATGAAATGAAGATAATTAATTTGAGACATTAATTAACTGGGATGAAATCAAATGAAATGAGATGAGATGATATGGGATGAACTATAATCTCAGTAAAATGGTGGTCATTTACTGAGATTTTTTCGTTGGACTTTTGGAGGATCCCGAGAAGTGACGTCCAGCGGCTTTGTTTCATTTTCCCACATTTTTGCACTTTCACAGATATTAAACAGTTAATAAACCACCATTATTACACATATAAACCCAAGAAACACTAAATAGACAAAATAAAACAAAACACACAACTTCACTCCTCGCGTTCCCGCCAAAAAGTCGCCTTATCTTTATCACTGATCTCAAACGTCATAGAGCGAGATTAGTAGACTTGCCAGCTAAAATCGGTACATTTGTACTATTTTGTACCCAAAATCGGTATTAGTCAAAAAATATACAATATTCAATCAAATGCGTTTATTTATTGAAAAAAAAACTTACATACTAATTTATAACAATCATATTTAAGAATAAATATTTTTTATACCAATATTGTTTGGCCATAGCTGCAGTCATCGTTGAATTAATTTCAAAATCATAGCAATTAGCTGTATTATAGAGTCGTTTTGCATGTAATAGACCAGTGATTGACTCAGTAGACAGCCTATTTCGCTGTTTTGTTTTCAAAAGAATAAATATGCGTTCAACGTTAGCGGATGAATAGGAAAGTGATAAAATATTAAGGATGAAATTAGACAACAAAGGAAACATTTGAGTTTCATCGCCACGTTTTAATAAAGTTACTTCTTCCCAAAATAGTTCTACATCATTAGGAAATGTTTTGATTTATTCACAATTTCTTAAAATGCGCTACTCTATCAATTTCCTGGAAATCATTGCTCTGAACAATATTGGGAAAGAGCCTACTTTTAAGAAGTATCGAAGTAGTCTTGCCAATTTTAACATGTTTTGGATCAATAATGTCTAAAAGTGTCAAATCGGTAGAAAAATCGGGAGAATTTCCATGTATACTCTGAAATCGTAGAAAAATCATTTTATTTCGGTATTTCAATAGATCAGTGCCCATATCGGTAGATATACCGAAAAATCGGTAGGTTCGAGACCACTGATATTTACTCTTGTTTATAGAGCTTAATTGTTTGACTTTGAAACTCAAATAGTAAGTGTTCTATGCTTTGACATACTGACATAGTGATGCAGATTTTTTGGCGGTAAGTGACCACCATTTTACTGAGATTATATTTCATCCCAGTTGATTAATGTCTCAAATTAATTATTTTCATTTCATTTCACTCCATATTATCATTTTTCATAAAACTATGAATATAAATTAAAATACGAAAATACGAAAAATGACCTAAAAGTCTTAGTTACCAGTTCATAAAATCCCTTAAAAAAAAGGAAAATTGGCGGGAATAACGTTTAAATAATACGACTTAGTAGATCGAATTTATGAAATAAGTTTCATAAATCCAGTGTTTTAAATAGCTGTATGAATGGCGATACTGGAAGTAGGTAATTAAGTTTTAATTTACATGTTTTCTTTAAATTTGCTTATTTAAGCGTCATCTATGCTACATTTAAATAACTGACATAGATGGTTTGTTTTCACTAAAGCTGGCGTAGTTCAGATGATTGAACTAGGTGGCACTAAAATAAAAAAAATCTACTTTAAAAAAAATCGTAGTTATAGAACAATTTTAAGTGGAATCGTAAATAAAGAACATTAAATAAGTGGGTATTATTTTTGTGAATTGCTTAATTTAAACTCAAATTGCATAAGTTAGCCTTACATGTAATTTAGTCGTTAGCATAATCCTGAAATAAAACGCGAAACTCGCTCACTCTTCATCTCTCTGCATAAAAGTAAAACATTGAAATTACCATTTAAAATTATTGACGTCATTTACGAGTGGCGATCGATGCAAATCGTTTTGGCAGAGTGCAAACTCCTAATTACTCCTCGTAAATTAGGGTAGCCGGTTGACAATGTCTCAGACGGGTGATATTTATGGCTCTATATTATTGGTGGGGACTCACCCCCTTGTGTCAGAGAGAACAGTAAGTTTATGCGTCTCTTAGTTTGGAAAAAACACATACATTGCTCTGTCTATAAACTGATCACTATGTATTTCATTCGCCCAATTTCAGTGCTAAGTCTACTATTTCGTCGGAGTTTTTAGTAACGCACCTATTCGACACTATGAAAATGGCAATAAATTTTATTTTGAACGAATCATATTTAATCTGTAGAGTCTATCTTTTATCATAGAAAATACTAATATTTCATTTATTTTCTGGTAAACCTTTGAAATATGTAAACATACTATAGTGAAATAATCACAAGAAGAAAAAGCATTCAGCGATTTCACGAAACATAAAAACGTCACAGATAAAAAACATCTTGGAGATTTATAAAAGTAACCTGTCTTGAATGCGACAAATAAATAACAGATGTGTCTGCACGAGCGAAAAACACATTGTCTCCGAGCAACAACATTCAACATCTTTCTTCTTAAATCTGCATACAAATTCGTGAGATCGCGCCCGGAAATTCAGCTAGTCATTTAAAACCCATTCTGTTTTAAGGCGTTTTTTCGCGCCATAAATTTGTCAAATGNTTTATAAAAGTAACCTGTCTTGAATGCGACAAATAAATAACAGATGTGTCTGCACGAGCGAAAAACACATTGTCTCCGAGCAACAACATTCAACATCTTTCTTCTTAAATCTGCATACAAATTCGTGAGATCGCGCCCGGAAATTCAGCTAGTCATTTAAAACCCATTCTGTTTTAAGGCGTTTTTTCGCGCCATAAATTTGTCAAATGTGACATTCGATGCATCTAGCGACATCTATTTTCAATACGTTGTACTTCCATTACGTTTACTAGTTTCAAATTCCCACAAAAGGTGGCGGTTAGAGTCACAAGTAACAGTATCTTCCAAGTTTTTAATTAAACGAAACTAATGTTTTTTGTTTGTAACATGTCCAAAATAAATGCATTAAATACACCTATTAGTTCAAAATACACAAGTCATTTGAGGTACGTTGACGGTGCTATGGTAGAAATATTTCATTCAAGTGCAAACAACAATTAATTTATACATCACTTCTTTTTTTGTCTTTATTATCCAATCGTCTGGAAGAGATCCCTTCTAATAAGAAGAACTTTCAATTCTAATGTTATGGTATATTTACTAACTAATTTATGTATATTAACTATGATATCACAAAATTTCGACTCGACTTATAAAAGACGCGTCGATTCATAGAAAATCATTGATTTGTGACGGGGGTATACCTACCTAGTCAAATCAAAGTAATAAAAATGAAACGGAAATGCTGTTTCAAAGAGGAGATATTTTTTAAACTGCTAATTACTCCGGTAAGAACAATGAACTAACATTTTCATATATCTACGTCCCTTGTGGAGTGTAAAGTGAATTATTGTAATTACGCTTGGCCTCTGCCGCTTGCACAGAACTTTCATACTATCTTATGACTGTTGTTACGAACTTTTGTATAAGTATACAGTTTTATATATTTCATAGTTTTTCACTGACTCCTCTAAACATTATTTGTTGACGTAATTTTAAATACTTTTACGGCTTAATCTCTGTGGTTGCTTAGAAATATTAAAATGTAATAAGCTATGGTTGCTTATTCGTACGTGGCGACGAAAACTGTAATAAAGATTTCGAATTATAATAATATAATTGCTTTATTGCAATTGCTTTATTTTAAATAAATGGGAGATTAACGTGAACGTAAAAAGTATCTTTAATTACGTTTACGATTCGTGATAACTGACGAAAATACTAATTTTAACAAGTTCTTATTAGAAGTTTGTAACGAGATATTTCGCCGACGTTAACACGTCTGACTAACCTAATTTGCAAACGCATCAAGTTCCGATGTCAAAACAGTATAAGTTTGCTCTAATATTCTGATTAACAGGATAAAAATTATGAAATTAATTGTTCGATTTGTTATAGTGTGTATTTTAGTTTTTAAACTACTATTTACCTATGCGCGCTACCCGCGCCATATTTATGGTACTATGATAAAGACGTATTTTTAGTATCACATCACTCATATCGCTTTAAATTCTATTTTAGTTTATTATTTATCTGTGCATGATCTTATTTTCATGATAAATATCTACATAAATATGGAAAGAAAATAAAGTTATGTAAAAAATATATTTTCTCAGTTGTTTGTCAATCCATTTTCTCTTCTTGTAGGAGCTTTAGTTTTATTGATTTTGTAATATCTATTTTGTTTATGGCTCTAACACACCAAAAAGAGCAAGTGTGAGAGAGTTTGGATAGTCAACATCGTTGGGTTTTAAATGTGATCTGTGTTGTTAATAATGTTGGTTCGTAATTACCTCCCTTGGTATTCGTATTTACCCGACTGATGTCGGGCAAAGCCGAACACTACGGATTTTGTTTTTCTTTCATATTGTTGCAATTTATTAAAAAAAATATAAATGTTCATTAATGAATAAGTGAGACAGATAAGTAAACTTTATAATAAAAAATAAAAAAAAAATACTGTGATCAAATTCCATGTTTTATTTAAGTTTTCCCTTAGGTGTTCGTATATCCCCCACTTTCCCCTAATTTGGTATCAGTGATTATGGTCGAATTTCGATCGTTGGAAACACTGGTCATTTATATCAAGTTTGTACGTGTAAATACATATAGCTTTACTCTGAATGTTTAATTATATCAGTCGGAACATTGTCGAAATAATTGATGTTATGTATCTTAGGTAAATGTTTAATGTAGTATGGGTAATCCAACACGTATTTGTTAATTTTTTTTAAATCTCTTTTGATTGTAATAGGTCTAATTAGATATCTCAGAATAAG